GAATCAAATATGTACTTTTATTCATTTACAATAAATGTCATAATATACATCAAGCTTATTGGAGCTAAGAGCATAAATTGTCTAACAAGATACCCCAGTTTACCTCTACTGCAAACATAAATCCGTATGAACTGTGCCCAAGCTAGGTGTAATCTTTCTCGATAGGGAGAAACGAGAGAGAAGAGAAGGGAGAGGAGAGGAGAAGAGGAGGGAGAGAGAGAGATTCAATTGGAAGCAAAAGACAATTGTTGGTCAGTGCCCAACTTACTATTTATATTAACTCAATATAAAGAAAAGAGAAAAATATAATTATGCCCCTAGCCACTCCCTACTAATAAACAAATAACAAGACAATAAAAGACACTGGCTAACAACATCTTAGGTTGACAACGTGCTACCAACAACTGTAAAAGAAACAAAATAAACAACTCTCACAACACTCCCCCTCAAGTTGGGTTGAATATGTCTATCATGCCCAACTTGTCACATAACTCATTGTGTTGAGAGTATGAAAGTCCTTTTGTGAGGATAACAACAAGTTATTCCTTGGACTTGACATAAGGGACGCGAATTTCACTTTTTTCCAATTTTTCCCTTATGAAGTGTTTGTCCACTTCAATGTGCTTGGTCCTCTCATATAGGACATGATTGTTGGCAATGTTTATCACTGCCTTGTTGTCACAATAAAGAGACATAGGATTATGAACAGCAACTCTAAGCTTCCCTAGAAAGTTCTTTAGCCAAAGAACTTTAGCCACCCATGTGCCATAGCTCTATATTTCACTTCGGCACTTGACCTTGCTACCACACTTTATTTCTTGCTTTTTCAGGTCACAAGATTTCCTCCCACAAAAGTGCAATACCCACATGTAGACTTTATATCATCCACAACACCTACCCAATCAACAATTGTGACGACTTCCACCTTTAGGTGATTATGTTTACTGAATAGTAGACCTGTCCTCGGATACTTGTTTAAGTATCCAAGGACTCTTTCTACTGCCTCCATGTGTGGTTTCTTAGGAAAGTGCATGAATTGGCACAAGACCCCAACTGAATAGGCAATGCCTGGACGGGTCATGGACAAATAAATCAACTTTTCCACTAACCTTTGGAACTATTTCACATCTTTTAGAGGTTCACCATCACAGTCACCCAATTTATGATCAACATCCATAAGAGTATCTATTGGCCTTGCGTCTAACTTGCCTATGTCTTGTAACAAATCAAGGGTGGACTTCCTTTGAGAAATGAAGATGCCCTTTTTTTATTTGGCAACTTCAATTCCAAGAAAATACTTTAGAGGACCTAGATATTTTACTTCAAATTTTGATGCAAGCAATTGTTTCAACTTTTGTATTTCTGAACTCCAATTTCCTGTAATGATGATATCATCCACATACACTATCAATACAGCAACCTGTTCCCGACATCTCTTCACAAAGAGTGTGTGATCAGACTAACATTGCTTGAACCCTACTTGCTGAAATACCATATGAAACTTATTGAACCAAGCCCTGGGAGATTGTTTTAAATCATAAAGAGACTTTCTTAGCTTACACACCTTATTTTCACTTCCCTTTGCATAGAATCTAGGGGGTTGAACTATGTACACTTCCTCCTCTAGGTCACCATTTAAAAAGGCATTCTTTATGTCCAGTTGATGCAATTCCTAGTCAAGGTTAGCAGCTAATGATAAGAAGAACTCGAATTGAATTCATCTTAACTACTGGAGCAAATGACTCATCATAGTCAACTCCGTACACTTGAGTGTACCCCTTGGCTACTAATCTTGCTCTGTACCTTTCAACTATCCCATCTGCTCTGTGTTTAACTGTAAACACCCACTTACACCCCATGGGGTCTTTACCCCTTCGAAGATCCACCAATTTTCAAGTTTGATTTTTATGGGTGGCATTAATCTCCTCCTTCATAGCATCTGTCCATTCAATGTATTTTAAGGCCTCTGCAACATTTTTGTATACAGGGATGCAATCAACTGTAGATAGGAAGGCTCGGTATGAGGGGATGTGATCATAAGAGACATACTTGGTAATAGGGTGTTTAGTAGTGCATGACTGTACTCCCTTTCTTAGAGCAATAGGAATGTCAAGGTCATCCACAGTAAGGGCAAGGGTATCAATAGGTGTAACAAGGTTTGGACTTAACTCCTGGGAGTCTAATAGTGTTAGTTGCCCAATGTTTGGTAGCTCCACATCTCTGTCACATTGCTGATCTCTACGGCGTATACATTAGAAGACACAAAAGAGGGTAAGGTCTGAAATAGAAGGAAGAGAGACTTGGTGGACCTGAACCTACTTCTACTATTACACTACTCTCTCCCTAAGGAGAAGCAGGGAAGAACGGTTCAGACTCAAAAAAATACACATCCATAGAGACAAAAGACTTATGACTAACAGGATCAAAGCATTGGTACCATTTTTGAGAGGCGGGATACCCTAGAAAGATACAAGGAATGAACCGAGCGTCTAACTTACCATAAGACGGAGACAAATCGTTGACAAAGGGGACTGAGGGAACAACAACTAATGAAGGGCCATATAGTTCAGCACTCTAGAGGGCATGCGGTTGATGACATAAGTAGTTGCAAGTATAGCATCCAACTAAAACCTTTTTGGAATATTCATGTGTAACATTATCCCTAGAGTTACCTCAAGGATGTGTTTGTTCTTTCTTTCTGCAACACCATTTTTTTGTGGTGTTCTAGTGTAGGAACTCCTATGAATAAATCCATGGGAGGCAAAGAACTCATTGAGCTCACCATGAATATTTTCCTTTGCATTATCTACTTGAAAAATTTGTATTTCAACATGGAACTGGGTAAACACCATCCTCTAGAAGTCTTTCACAATGTTTAGAACTTCAAAATACACAATATGAAAAGGAAAATTGGATCTTTTATTACTTAAATGAAAAGTTGTTCTACATTGTTTGCTCAACTGACACGTTTGACATTGGAAATCTGACACTGAACATGACTTAAATAAAACTGGAAATAATGACTACTATTTCAAATGAAACATGACCTAACAGACTATGCCACAAAAAAATTTGACTCTTATTTGACTGAATATATGATTTCGAGGTTGACACCGAGAAACCAGTTTTGTTATCGAGAATGTAGAGACCATCCACTAGGCTCCCTCTACTAATCGTCCTCCCAGAAGTTAGATCCTAAAAAACACATGAGCCAGGAAAGAAAGTTACACTATAGTTTAAAGAGTTTGTAATACTACTGATTGAAAGGAAATTAATAAGAAGTTGAGGGACACGCAATACACAATTCAGCTTAAGGCCATGGGGAAGGGATATTGATCATTGGTCTGCAATGGAGGACAATGATCCATCAACAAGTCTCACTTTATCCCTTCCTGACAAAAGGTTATAAGTCTGAAACAAGTTTGGCTTATCGGTCATGTGGTTAGAGGCCCCTGAGTCAATGATCCAAGGGGAGTCAATGGTAGTGGTGACATGGAATGCAAAGGCCGCATTACCTGATGTAGACACAAATGAAGTAGGAGTACCAACAACTGAACTATCCATTTCTCGTAAAGCCCTACCATATGACTCTAAGTGATCTCTGAAGGAATTCATGATACCTTCCTTAGGTTCAGAACCAGTCAAGCAGTTCTGTATAGTACCAACAAACTGAGTATCCCTCTCTCCTCTCACTAATCTTTTACTAATCAGACTTAATCAAGGTTAATTACAAGTTTGCCCTTAAGTGGGCGGCCAGCTCATCAATAACTTATAAGAAAATAAAAAGAAGCTAACAGGCCCATAAAGAAAGGCCCATTAACACATAAAAAATAAAAACACCACTACTTAACAAAAAAAAAAAAACAAACATTAGGGCCCATTTGGCCCAGTCTCTCTACAAAAGGCAAGGTATGCAAACTAAAGAAGTTACTTTATTGATTGAAGCAATCTCCACGTGCTTAGTTTAATAGGTTTAGGGCAGGTCTTGTTCAGCTTGGATACACTCAGACTCAATCTAATCATACCCTCTTTGTTAAAAGGAGAAATACTCAAGTCACACTTCTTATTGTTTATGTAGATGATATTGTTGTAACTAGCAGTGGTACACGAGAAATTAATGATCTCAAGAAGTTCCTTAGTTCTAAATTTGAGATCAAAGAGTTAGGAGAGTTGAGATATTTCTTGGTCATTGAAGTTGCTAGATCCAAAGAAGGTACCTTCGTTTTCTAGTGGAAGTATGTGTCGGATCTTCTCACTGAGACTAGGAAGCTTGGTACTAAAACTTGCCTCCCCTCCTATTAATGTGAATCATAAGCTCTCAACTAATGATAGAAATCTTTTGACTGGTGTTTCAAAGATTGTTGAGAAAACTTCTTTACTCCTGTATAACAGGTCCAGACATTTCATATAATGTGAGTGTAATCATCTAGTTCATGCATGCCCCTAGAGACATGCATATGATTGTTGCAAAAAGGGTGCTCTATTAAAATTCCAAGTTTCAGAGAGTGAACAACAACTCTCTCTTCTCCATTTGAACCTTTCTCTCTTCTTATCTTCTCTTCTCTTCTCCTTTTGTTCTTGTTTTCTTTCTCAATAAAACCTAGATATTGTAACTAAAAAACAATAGAAAATAGAATGACCTAATAGTGATCTTAACCATCAGTCTATTTCTCTCCTTGTTGTCAGTGTCAATTTGTGGTCAAGATACTTTTCATGCATTTTACTTTAGTTCCACATATTATATTGCATATGTGGTGTTATTGGCACTTGGTCGTTTAGATACTTTCATTTTATTTTACTTTAAAATGATTATTTTAACTATATCTTGTCTTGTCTCTATCTCCAAGTTACATGTTCGTGAGATATTGAAAGTGTAAATAATCAAAGCTAAGTACTTAATTGAATGTCTTATTTTTTATTATCAATTACCCTAAATTCCATTATGTGCCTACATTTTGATAAGCTACTACTGCTGCCACACTTCTTCTATTGTCTTGCAGAACTCCAGTAATGAATCTCTAATTCGAAGTTTTCAGCTTGCATTTTCCTTGCAGAGGATTTCTCTTAAAGAAGAGCGTAAGTTCTAATATCTTTGCTATGCATCATATGTATTATGCACAAATCCCCTTTCTACTTTTATTTGGAAGCCAAATTCCCCTTCCACAATCTCTTTGGAAGCCAATATCCCCTTTCATACTTGGCAACTATATAACTATTAGTTGTTTCTAATAATGGGCTTGATTGATTTGTGCATCTCATTTGTACTTTATTTACTACACATCCGTCTTTTTTTTTTCTTTTGGAAATGTTAAGGTATGATTTATTAAGAAAGAGGATTAAAGATGTATACAGGTAGTATACAGCCCTTTAAGGCCCAAGACAACTATTGAACCAATATACACCAAAAACCTCAACAGCCCAAAAATCCACAAGGGACCAGACAAGAGGCAACAAAAGTGCATCCCTCCCCCCTCACATTTAACAAAGAAAAACTCCCCAAAAAACACAAGGGAGCAAACAAGTTACCATTTACTATACAACAGTAATGGTAACTTAAACATTGGTATTAATTTTAAATCTCTTTAAGCCAATGATTTAAAAGGTGCACCTAGGGTATGTGTGTTAGTTTCAATCGAAGAATATAAGAGACAAGAGAGTCACACGAAAATGGATGGGTGTGTATTGTCCCATACACCCAGAAAAAGATATTTATATATTAATGTGAGAATGGATAGTTCTGTACTTACAAGTGTAAAATATGTACAGTAATGTACAAAGAGATATACAAAAGAGCCAAGTAAAAGAAAGTAAAATTACAAAACTACCCCTCATTCTCTCTACACTCCCCCTCAAACTAATGCTTAGGAAAGAAAGAGCATCAGTTTGTCTACAAGAAAATTGTGTTGAGTGTGTGTCCTAGCCTTAGTAAAGAGATCGGCCAGCTAAAGATTGGAAAACACATGAAGTAGTGTGATGTGAACAGTAGTGAGAAGATCTCGAATGAAATGGCAATCCACCTCTATATGCTTAGTTCGTTCATGGAAGACTGGATTTGAGGCAATTTTGATCGCACTCATGTTGTTAGCAAATAAAGGGATGGGAGCGGAGTGATCAATGGTCAAATCCTGAAGAAGAGCTTTAAGCCAGACAAGCTCACTACAAATAGAGGACATAGCATGGTGTTCAGATTCCGTAGATGAATTGGAGACTGTTTGTTGCTTCTTACACTTCCAAGAGACGAGGTAATCACCTAAGAAAACACACCAGCCAATGGTGGACCATCTGGTGTTAGAGTAACCAGCCCAATCAACATCATCATAAGCAATCAACTGAGGAGATGAGGAAGAAGATAAGAAAAGTCCATGAGATAAGGTGCCTCTAACATATCTAATAATTCGAAGCACAACAGAGAAATGAGGTTGTGAGGAGCTGATACAAACTAGCTAACTATTTGCACAGCATATGATATGTTTGGTTAATTCATAGTAAGGTAAATAAGGCTTCCAACAAGTTGACGATATAGTGTAGCATCAGGAAGGAGTTGTCCATCATCCTTATTGAGCTTAAGGTTGATTTCCAATGGGGTATCAACTTGTTTCAAGTCAAAGAAATTGGCCATCTTAATTAAGTCACTAGCATATTTGTGTTGATTAACAAAATATCCTCAAACACTTTTGGTGATCTCAAGACCAAGAAAGTAGGTCACGGGATCAAGATCCTTCATTTTGAAGGATTGACTGAAAAGTTGCTTCAATTGAGTGATCCCTTCCAAGTCATCACCAGTAATAAGTATATTGTCAACATACATTAGTAGAAGAGTCACTCCTTGGGGACGACAAATAATAAAGAGGGAATAATCTGAGGCACTCTATTGAAATCCTACTTCAATAATAACCCCTCTGAACTTCTCAAACCAGGCCCTTGGAGCTTGTTTAAGCCCATACAATGACTTCTTTAGTTTGCATACTAGAGTAGAATCATCACAGTAGCCTGGGGGAGGCTTCATATACACTCCCTCACAGAGATGCCCATGAAGAAAGGCATTCTTGACATCCATCTAGTGAACAGTCCATTGTTTAATAGCAATGATAAAAGAATAAGCTGAATAGTAGTCATCTTAGCCACCAGTGCAAATGTCTCCTCATAGTCAATGCCATGTTCTTGTTTGTATCCTTGAGAAACAAGGCAAGCGTTATATCTATCTAGGCTCCCATCAGAATCCAGTTTGACTAAGTACACCCAACGACTGCCAAGAATGGAGGCATATAGTGAAGGAGAAACAAGCTCCCAAATATCATTTTCCAATAGGGCCTGAATTTCCAAGTCTATTGCAGCTTTTCAATGCCCAATTGTTGTAGTCCATCGATAAGACTTAGGGATATTTATAGAAGACAAAATAGGAAAAAGGGAACTATGGATAGCAAAATATCTATAGCGGTCAGGAGGACGAGTAACTCTGGAAGAGCATCATAAAGGAGTGGGAGTAGGAGGTAGATGAACACTTACATGAGAAGTAGATGTGGATGGTACAGAGTCTGAGGGTGTCAAAGGAACAGGCATCAGGGTCGATGGAGGAGGAAAAGGCATAGGCATTGTTGCATCTGGATACTTCCTATGATAGACTTGAAGAGGCAAGACTGAATCACCTGCAGGAGTAAAGTTGTGTAGAATAGAGAAGGATGGTGCAAGTAATTTAACAACATATTCAAAAAATGACAAATTCTCAAGAAAGATAACATTTCTAGATATTCGGAGATGATGAACTTTAGGATCATAATAGAGAAATCCTTTATGTTTTAAATTGTACCCCATAAAGGCACACATAGCTGATTGAGCAGTAAGCTTAGTGCCCTCATGGGGAGGAAAATGTACAGGCAAATGCAACCAAAAACATGAAGTGTAGAGTAATTTGGAGAATGATGAAAAATACAATAAAAAGGTGACTAACTACCAAGAACTGAAGATGGAATGATGCTAATGAAATACACAATAGTGTTGGCCGCCTACACCCAAAAGGTAATGGGAAAATGGGAGTCAAGCAGAAGGGATCTCACCAATTCCTATGATGAGTCGGTTCTTGCATTCAACAACTCCATTTTGTTGAGGAGTTCTTGGACAAGATCTTTAGGATAGAATACCATGTTTCTTTAAATAGGTTTGAAATTCTTCATTTTCCCCATCAAAATATCCTCCCTAGTCAGAATGTAGAATGTGAATGGTGGCATTGTGTTGGGTCATTATCATGGTGTGAAAGTTTTGAAAGGTGGGAAGTACTTCTGATTTCTTCCAAATGAAATAAATCCAAGTATATCTAGTGCAATCATCAATAAATAAAACAAAGTATTTATATCCGAATCTAGATATAACAGGAGACGGCCAAACATCACTATGTATTACTTGAAAAGGAACAGTAGCATGCACAGATTTATCAATATTCTTAGAAACATAATTAATGGTAGGTAAATAAGCAGAAGAAAATAGATGATCCAAGTTCTTAGCATGTGTGTGGCCTAAACATCTATGCCATAAATGCCGCACATTATTACAACGGGAATGTAACACATCACTAGTAGTATAAAGAAAACAAGATGAGGACGAAGGTCTCTTCTCGAACTCAAGAGCAAATAGCCTTCCAAACCTACTCCCCTTCCCCTTCACCTCTCCAATGCGTTGATCCTATATGACACAACCATCATGAGAAAATAGAACCAAGTTACCATCATCAACAAGTTGACCCACATAAAGAAGATTGGTAGTTAACTGAGGAATAAAGAAGGTTTTTAGGAGATGAAAGGAAGAGGATTGAGAGGTAGAAAGAAATAAATCATCACAACCAACAATCTTTAATGACTCACCACTAGTAATAATCTGGTCATTAGAAGGGTAGGGTTTAGGAGTCTGACCAAAGGAGGCCCCAATCATATGATTTAAGGCTCTAGAATCTATATTCCACATATGGCTAGGAGAGGAGCAGGTGGTAGAAGACTTACCAAACAAGACAATAGCAGAGAAGGCAGATGAAATAGTTGAAGACACAAACTATCATACCTTATCCTCAGTCAGAGTACCAGAAGGCTCCCCCTTTGAGTCTAAGTTGGAGGGTAATATTAGATGAAGGCTCTATAACTATCTGAAGTGCCTTGTATTGACCCTTCTTGGGAGGTCGGGTATGGCATTTAGTAATGATGTGACCTCATTGTTTGCAATAGGTAAAAAAATTTTTTTTCTTACAGTGAGAGGCCACATGTCCAAACTCCTTGCACTCATAGCACTGCATCTTGGAGAAGTCCTTTTTGCCCTTTGGCTTGGTAGCTAGAAAAGCTATATTATGTCCATGTTCTTTCTTGTTGTCAAGGGAGGACTGAGTGTATAGTCTAGTCTCCTCCCTTAATAGTTCACCCAATATGGTGTCCAGGTCAGGCACATTTTCCCTACTGAGTATGCTGGACCTTATCAACTCATAGTTGGGTCCAATGTGCATAAGAAAGTGCATGATCTTCCTTTGATCGAAATGCCTTTTCACAGTTGTCACACAACAATCAGTCATTGTGGCCCCAAGATGAACAAGTTCATATTTTGTCCATAGATTAACAAAACCAGCATAATATTCATGTATTCTTCTCTCCCCCTGGGTGTATGAGAATATGTCCATTTCAATTTGATATTGTTTGGACATATTTGACTACTGATATACCTTCTCAAAGTAGTCATACATCTCCTTAGCAGTTTTCAAGCCCTTCAGAGGGATAGCTACATCAACAATGACTAAACATAATATCCTGGAAACAATTTGGGCATTACTGATTTTCCACTATTTTAGCCCTTTAGCATAAGTAGCCTTAGGAATGGTTGTGGTACCATCCAGATAGCCCCACATAACCTTCCCTTCAACAAAAAATTGGAAATAGAATTTCCATAGAGCATAGTTTGTTCCATCAATTTTCACAGATATGATGTCACTCCTTTCAGATCCCATATTCGGTCAAGAAACCAAAGAAAGACTATAGAAAAGATGATAACAATCACTAGAAGTCAAGAGGAATACTTTGAGAAAGAGATAACAATCATTAGGAACCATTAAGACCCTTTGAGTAAGAAAATGAAGTATGAAACCTCAGTCGAAAAATCAACATCCCAAAAAAGGAAATTGTAAGTAGCAGTCGCCCAAGGAAGAAGATCAAAACCCCTTTAAAACTTCACCAAATCAAGAGATATGTGTACAACAGATAGATCTGATCTAGGTGACACCAGATCTGAAGTTTGGCCCTGATCTAAAATCTTCCAAGAGAGATCTAATGAAATCTCTCCTACAGAGTTCAAACTCTATCTGTACAACAAGTAGGGTTGATCAAAAACAACACTGTACATTCCACCGGTTGAAGGGTTCATCTCAATAGAGAGATGAGATTACTACCCACAAAAAGTGATAAAGAATCAAGAATAAGATCAGAGAGCAACATGCTCTGATACCATGTCAGTTCAGTCAAAGAAGAGAAGAGACAAGATAGTCACACAAAAATGGATGGGTGTGTACTGTCCCACTTGCCTAGAAAAAGATATTTATATATTAGTGTGAGAGTGGACAGTTCTATCCTTACAAGTATTATAGTAATGTACAAAGAGATATACAAAAGAACCAAATAAAAGAAAGTAAAATTATAAAGTTACCCCTTATCCTCTCTACAATGTGCCTCTCCCAAGTCCTAGGCATACACCTGGTGCGCCTAATGCGCCTTACGACTCAGCCCAAGCATGTGCCTTTTCAAAATTTTATGCTCTTTTGCTTTTTTTTTCTGAACCTAGTGGTTGGGTTAGGGGCTCCGCATGTTGTTGATTCATTCATTCATCTTAAAAGGCTTATTGACTATCACATGTGGAGAAATCCAAGAACCCTCTATTTGCTAATGTTGTTCATTCATTCATCTTAATAAAATATCTTCTTATAAGGCAATTAAAATTATAAAATCGTTATTTTTTATGTGAGAATTAAGAATTTAAGACCCTAACATAGACTTTTTCGGGCTTGCCTCGAGGGGCGTGATACAAAGGCGACTCATAAAATAAAAAATGCAATATATTTTACATCACATTAACTACATGAAGTAATGCAATTGAGGAAAAGAAGAATCTATGGATTTTACATGCTTGAAAATGCTATATATGTTTGATTTTAATTTTAAATGTTCATTTGAATACTCTTTACATGTTACGTTTATGTATTTTAATTTTAGATAATAGGTTTTTTAAATGTTTATTTTACAATTTAAGTTTATATTTTTTATTAATGTTATGTTTAATATTTTTTTCATTTTTTTAAATTTTTGGCATTTTTTTGAATTTTCTAACATTTTTTTTATTTTTTTAGCTTCTTTTTTTGTATTTTTGCACCTTGCTTCAAAAAGCCGCACACCTCGCCTTGCGCTTTTAAAACACTACTTTAAGCTCATTGTCAAATATGGGAAAAGGTTTTTAAGATATATTAGATTAGAACACACATACTTCTAAACAAAAGTAAATAATACTTGACATGATTGGGAAATTTCTTTCACCATAATAGCTATTAAATTTTACTTGATGCCAACTGTTGTAAAGAAGTATCTCTTCAGGAAGTTATCTAAAATAATGGAAAGTTATGCTGCAAATGGAAAATTGGGTTACAACCAGTTGGAGGTTTAAATTTTCAGTGTCTCATGTACTGGCCAACTGCCAAGTGCTACTGCCACTTATTCCTTTTTTATCTTTTTGTTTTACTTGTCCAGGATTCCATGTACTGCATTTAGGCGTGGATCATAATAACACAATCCTTTAGAAAGTGGGAGAAACATAGGAAATGATCTATGTTCCCTTTATCTATCAAGTTCCAATTAAACATTTTCAACTGAAAGAAAATAATATAATCATTAGTAATCAGTGTTCCATTTCCCTTTGAAATTTGAACCATAAACGTTTTTTTATGGTGAAAAGAGTCATGAGGCAACTCCATACTACTAAGATAACACAATGATATAAATCTACAGAAAGGATTTCAATGTCCTCATTGATTCAAGGAATTCCATTGTCGTGTTCTCTTGGATTTCTGTACATTCTATTAATTAGTAGGTTGTGATAGATCTGCCTGAACTCCACCAGTGTGTGCTTGTCTTACACTGCAGTCCCAAGCCTGGATGAAGGAGGAGGGTTGCATCAGGTTGGCAGTCAAAACTAAAAATGTTCCCAAACTCTCATGGTCATAAGTATAGAGCTGCCTAAATGTCTTCAGGGCATTAATGGGATTGTATATATATATAAATAATCTGTCATTTACAACTTTTTGCAGGTCAATTGAAGCCATCACGCCGTCGATCCCTTTTTACCTTAGCAACATCTATGATTATTTTTTCAGCAAAAACTTATAATATCCTTCCTCTTGTTCCTTTTGCTAAGGCACCGCTTACAGATAAAACGGTATGTTCTTTGTTGCTTTCCATATTAAAATTTATTTAAATTGTAATTCAAGTAGTAGGAATGTATACACTTTGTATTTATGCCTGTAGTTACAATTACTTTTCCAACTTCATTCTCGTGTACATTAATGGTTGCCTCAAGCAGGCAATGGCATGTTTGTCTAAGCCACTTCTTTTAGTTTCTTTTCATCATGTATGAAAAACCATGTACTACACTATCTACGATGTTTGAGATTTCTTTGTCTCTTTGTTTTCTTGTATCAGGTTGATCCATTTCTAAAATTGATTGAGGATTGCAAACTACAGGCTGTTGACACTGCATCTACTCATCCTCCAAAACTTTATGGATCAATTGATGATGATAATGCTGCTTTGAAAGCTCTTTCTACAATAGAGGGCCAATCTAAAGAAGCCCTGGCTTCAACAATTGTGAACAGTTTGGGAAAGTTTTCAGATGTAAAAAACATGTATTTTTTTTTAGCATGATGGATTGCTATATATGATTTAAATGATAAATAGTTAAAATGACTGATGGCATATCTTTTACAGAAAGAGGCGTCAACTATTAGGAGGCAATTACTAAATGAATTTTTTCCTGATGAACTATGTCCCTTGGGAGCTCAGTTGTTCATGGAAACACCACAAATTGCCTCCTCACTTGAGTCAAAGGATGACAAATCCCTTGAAGCAAATGATGATGACATATCCACTGAAGCAAATGAAAATCAAAAAGATCCAAATTTACAGTTAGTTGAAACTTCAAATCTTTTGAGTGTCAACCAACTGCTTGACTCGGTATGTTAGTCATTTCATTAGTCTATTGCATAGTTGCATTATTTTGTAGGTTTAGGTCAGTAAATATGTGTTAGTTCTTGCAACTATCACTTAGATTATTTGGTTCAACATGAGAAATCCATAATGGAGTTGACTCGGATTCATGGAATCAACTCAAGGTGCATGAATTTAAAAATTTTATGAATTATAATCAGGTAATGCTATGTTTCAAGTTTATATTTTCTCACCTATAATCACTAATCATAGCTCTAAACACAAGTGATGTAGCACTGCCTACTCTATTACCACTTGATGTAGGATCACCTGTTTTTATATCAAATCGATGTAAGATTTTAATGATAAATTATATAACTCTAGGAGGGCTAGGATGGGCTTAAGGGTGATTTAGGACAGAAAAACAAATACCGGCTAAGTTAGAAAAGGTCTTGGAGTTTAATCACAAAAAAAAAAAAATTGTAGATTTGTCCCATTTAGGTAAACTTTGAAATAGGGAAAATAGATCTAGGATATTGAAGGTTTTGAACAAGAAGAGAAGATAGAAAGGAGAAGAGATGATAGAAGAGCATGTGACAGCTCAGTTCTTCCTAACCCCAATTGATATTTAAACTAAAGTGCAAAGAAAGATACAAGTACAAAAATACCCCTAAGAGTAACAAACAACCCAAACACCAGCCTGATATTGTCCAGAAATATGCCAAAGATCAAAAATAACAAAGTGCCAGCCTCATATTGTCCCTAAGAGTAACAAATAACCCAAACACCCAATTCTGTTTTGTTTTTTGTTTTTTTTTGTCAAATCTCTAGGATCCTTCCCTAGGCATTACAAAATCTTCAAGAGATGTCCAACAATCCTTTAAAAGAACTGTTGACTCATGTGGCACTATTCAGTTTCTCAAAACTCCAGGTGGTATGCTGACACAAAACCATGTAGGCTCCAGAACAATGGACGAAAAGAAAAAGAAAACTGGAGAAAAGTTTCTGCTCTACTATCAACTTGGTTTTTCTGATTTCATTTATTATCTATGAAGTAAATAAAAGCAAAAGCAATAAAAAAAAAAGAGAAGTAAGGAATAAAGGAGAAGATAGAACCACAATTTAGAAGAAGAGAATGGTTTTGCATCAAAGCCCTTTCTTCCACTATTTATATGTTGGTATTCAAAATAAAAAGACTGAAATACAGTTGGTCATAATATTCACTTATTTTAACATAGCTTAATCTCAATGTGCGCATTACAACATCATAAAAATCAATCCCACATAAGTTTCACTATCATTAACCGTTGTATCAAATGTGCAAAATTTTATGGGGATCACTAGTTGGTGATCAACCAGTGATTAGACCATTTTCATGCTGTCACTTTTCTTAAACTTCAATGGCGTGCCCTCTCCTTATGCCTAAGTGGGTGAAATATCTGCAGGTCGTGGAGACATCGCATCAAGTTGGAAGATTTTCAGCTTCAACTACACCTGGTGTACCATATAAGGAAATGGCCAGACATTGTGAGGCCCTTCTAATGGGAAAACAGGAAAAGATGTCAACCTTCATCAATGCTCAACAGAAACAGGAAAATTTAATAAGTTTTGACGTAGATGATCACAATGTGGATAAAATGGCATCATCTAATCCCCCTGTTGACATGGGTATCCAAATGGTACTTACCCTGCCTTATTTTATGTCATTGTACACCTAAACACATGCATGCATGCATACATGAATCATACATTCATAAAACATGCCCACTGTTCATGCATATGAACATGCTAACATGCATACTATTTGCTGCCAAGGCATCTGATACTGGGAAGAATTTAAACCTGCAGAATGGTAATCCTTTTGTTGATCATTGTTCAAGTGCTAATGGGAACAAACCATCAGTTGGCATGGGTCCAACGTTATGTGCAACTGAGTACCAAAATCATCCCAACTTCTTCACGCTGCCTGCATCAAGTCCATATGACAACTTTCTGAAGGCTGCTGGCTGTTGATATGATTTAGTAGGCATAACAAGAAACTATGACAACTTCAAATAGCCAGTTTGAGGTAAGACTTTAAAACTTTTGATTTTCTTTGAGAACTTGCCAGCCCCAAGCATCATCTGTTTTCTGTAATTTGTATTGGTGTTAGTTACCATTGCAGAGTAATGGAGTCTCGTGATTAGTGTTGGTTAAGGTGTTTAATTGTTTCATGTCTTATCAATTTTTGTTCATTCTTTTTCCCTTTTGTAATTTATAACTTCAGCTTGGGGGTGGTGAGTCCCTAATATGTTGATCCTTCTGAATAGTTTCAAAAAATGCAAAGGTGGCCAAAGTAGCCACAATATTTCCATTTATGAGCATTTTATTTATTATTTCTATTGTTGGTAAAATGAGACCCTTTAATAAAACCTCACTGTCGTATACGTGTATGTGAAACTCTGACCTTGTAAAATACAAGAAATTGTATATTCTACTAAATTTTCAGATTTTGGGTGTTTTCGTTTTGTTTCTATTGAGTTGCTTGATGCATTGTTATCATTCAGAAAATTACAGATTTTTTTCTTGGCACTTGAGAGTAACCTATGATTCATAAACAAGAACCATTGGGTTTGTACTATTTTACTTCTCTGCTTGGATAATTATACTAGTAAAAAGGGCACATAGTTTGCATGTGACAATTTCTAAATGATGATGGTAATAATAATTTAAAGAGTGGAAAAGTGTATTTTTGAAGGACAACATTGTTTGTTGGTTGTTCCATATTAACCTATCAATAATCTAAGCCAGCTTACCTCAGACACTATTAAAGCCTAAAACCAATTTCTTTTTTCATGTGGTGGCTCATGTTTGTAGTTCTTGTTTAATTTGCTTTTAACCAAAATTATCAATATGACAAAAAAAAAGGATAACTTTGCAGTTTACCATACAATTTAACAAATGTGAATATTCATGTGGGCATGATAAAGTGGTGTTAAACTTTTTAATTTAAGAAAGCATATTTGACTAACTTTAGATGCTAAAAGGTTTAATTTAAATGGCATGGTTTTAAACCATCATATTAAAATTTGCATTAACCTAAGCACATAGTACCCAAACTTCAAAACATGTCACTGCAGTACCTGAACTCTTGAAAATTGCTAGTTTAGTATCCATCGTTAGTGGTCCATCAATTACTTCTTCCTTTTAGATTAAACTAACAGCGAACAAAATCCTAAATCCATGATCGATATATATACAAATACAACCTCGATCGGTACTATTTATGCCATCTAGGGATATTGAGATTTGAAGGTGAAAATCAAAAAGAAACCGAATTAAAAGTTCTGGGTACAGATGAGTATATGGGCATATGACAAAAAGGATTTTGAATATTCGCAAAGAACACCATTAGAGAGAGATTGCAACAAAAACAGAAAAAAAAAGAGCAAAGATCAGATCATTCTAAGTTATAACCTCCAACTCTTGTAAGCACCTGCTAATTTCCAGTATTTGAAGCTGATAAGGAAACCGGCAGCATTATAGTTATGCTCTATACAAATTTCTCAATTTTGTAAGTGTTTCTCTTATCTTATACCAATTAGTGATCTACAGATTGCAAGTGCATTACCACATTCTTCTGTAGTCGAAGAATGTGGGATTACTTAAATCCTCTCAATTTTGGTTTACAATTTATGGTTTGGTTTCTAAAATTTAAGAAATGGAACTATATCATTTGGTTTTATGGTTTGGTTTCAATTTAGTTTTATGGTTTGGTTTCAATTTGGTTTTATGGTTGGAACCATATAATAATAAACACTCCTACAAATACCTAACCCAATTAACCGCCCCCAAATTCTCCCAAGATAGGGTAGTTGTGATCTCATAATCTTGGTACTTGGTATGGTGCCCCAGCCCACTCATACTTAGGGATGGCAACTTTCCCTATCCCCAATGGGGACCTGACTTCTCCTACCCGATGGGGTCAAAGTGGGGATTGTTTTGGTGGGGCGGGGATTAACAGGAATCCCTAGTCGAGGTCAGAGATGGGGATTGAGGTCCTCGCCCCGCCCCAACCCCCAATATATGTTTATGTATATCTATACTACTTATAAAAGTGCGAATGAGGAGGTATTGACTTCTGAAATTTTTCTTTATTAAAATATGCCTCATCTTGAATTTAGTTCATTTCCATTGAAATGGTAGAAAATATAATTAAAGAATACCATTAAGTACATTCAATTACCTCTCATTAAGTCTCACATTTAAGTCATTAAATAAATCACTTTCTCTCTCATTGAATCCAATAATTATACTTTTGTTTATCATCATTAAATTCCACTAATAAATCTATACACAATAATTTTTAATAGAATAAAATTTTATATTTTTTAAATAAACATAGAAATGAAATCATATTTTTCATCTAGGTGGTGGGTAAGTAATTCAACCATTTGGGTCAAATGGATAATTTCATGATGTCATAAATAAATAATACAAATTTGGAAATATAAAAATACTTTTGTTTATCGTCATTAAATTCCACTAACAAATCCATACACAATAATTATTAATAGAATAAAATTTTATATTTTTAAAAGAAACCTATAAATGAAATTATATTTTCCATCTAGGTCGTGAGTAAGTACTTCAACCATTTGGGTCAAATGGATAATTTCATTATGTCATAAATAAATATTACAAACTTATAAATATAAAAAATATAGAAAAAAAATTAAAAAAAAAATGGACACGTTTCTACTATTATATATTTGTCATATTAAAAAATAAATACAATAAAATAGACATAATTTTTTTAATGGTGGACATCAAATATACAACTTAAAACCAATTTTCCTATCTAGGGGTGGGTTAGTGGTTCAACCTTTCAGGTCAAATAGGTTAACCCATGATGTATAATTAAAAATATTTTTTTTAAATAGAATAGTACAAAAAATATGAAACAATTTTGGTTACATCTATAATATTATATACTAATAATATAAACAAAAATAAGTATGATAAATAATAATTATTTTATTAATGATATAAATGAAATGTAAAATTAAAAACCAGTTTGAAAATGAAACCATTTCCATATGTAGATGGTAGGTAGGTCAATGACCTAACATTCTGGGTCAAATGGGTCAATCTATGATGTCATAACTACATAACAAATATTATATACATACATACATACATACAATTCTATTGTTATATATTCACCATATTAAACAAAAATAAATGTGAAAATAAAAATTACTTTTATCGATGATGAAAATGGAATACATGATTTAAAATCAACCGAAAAAGAAAAATGGTTTATCCTTCCAAGTGGTGGGTTAGTGGTTCAACTATCCATATCAAATGGATGTTATTAATAAATAATAAAATATATAAAATTCTAGAAAATATAGAAATTTGTCAATAATTTTAGATACATTCTATAATATTATATATTCATCATATAAAAAATGTGTGATTAATGAGAATAATTTTCACTAATGATAGAAATGGGATAAAAATTAGGATAAAAAATAAAGAGCATTAATGTCTAATACATGACCCAACTAACCATGTCAAATGGTTCAATAATTTAATTAAATAGGTCATCTTAGACAAGTGGTTTGGTAGGGATGCAAACAAATCAGATCAGATTTGAATTAGGGTATATTCAAATATAATCAGATCCAAAGATTCGACCGGATCTCATAAATATTGATTTGAATCCGAATCTGATGAAGATGTCATAAATTAGAATCTGATATGATCCGATTTAATATAAAAGAAAGTAATAAATTGCTAAAAGAAAAAAGAAACATAATAGTTAAAATAAAAAACAAAAAATATAAGTATTTTTTCAACCATTTCCATCATATAAAAATTTTACAAAAATGCATTATAAATAACATATTTATATATAAATAATACACACACACTGTATATATATATTATACACACACACATATAAATAATTGATTTTATCACAATATTAAAAAACAATGTTCAAACAATATATTGGAATTGCATTTCCTCTTAGTAAATGAGTAATCTTTATTATCCCATAAATTAAATAATAAAAAATAAGTATAGAATTTTTTATAAATTTTATAAGAAAATTTGAACATACATTGATATTATATATTCTTCATATTAAACAAAAATATGTTTGAAAAAAATGAGAATTATTGTTGGTAAAGATAGAAATGGATAAAATACAAAGAAAAAAATTAATTAATGTCTTAATCATAGTCCAATTCTTGGTTAAATAGGTTAACGGTTCAATCAATAAGGTCCTTTGGTTATTGATTATTATCATCATCATCATTTGATACTGTCACATGTAAGAAATAAATGCAGCAATAAGAATTGCTTTTATTGATGATGAAAATGTAATATATGATTTAAAATCAACCAAAAAAATGGTTTTTCCATCCAAGTGGTGGATTATTGGTTTGACTATCCATGTCAAATGGATCAACAATGATTTTATTATTAAATAATAAAATACATAAAATTCTAGAAAATGTAGAAATTTATAGATAATTTTGGGTACATTCTATAATATTATATATTCATCATATAAAAAAAGTGTGATTAATTTTGGATACATTCTATAATTATTTTCATTGATTGGGGTAACTTTTTGAGGTCAATATTCTACATGTAATATATGCATTATTTTATATTTAATTTACATTTTAAATTATAACTTTTACTTTTAATTTATATAAATATTAAAAATTGTGAATCAGTGCCAATAAAAAGAAATTTTTTTGTGAGAATAACTAGGGAAGGCACCCATGACCCTTGTGATGCATATATTTTGAAAAGCTACCCAAATTAGAATAAAGATCACACCAATTGGACATCAAAGCACAAAATTATTCTTTTCCGGTGTTTATATTTACGATCAGAATACAACTTGTGACATGGTGACCAAGTATAATTGGCCAATGGTTTAGCCACCCGAGTCATATGATTTTTGACCAAAAGATGGGCTTTTTGAGAATCAGACTTGGAATACTAGTCGATGATGGTCTAACCAGCTAAGATCAACAACAAATTGATACAATGTGGTATATTTTATGGCTTTTATTTCCTTGTATTGACTTGCTTAATGACCCGTTCCGAATTAAGTTGAGAAAAAACAAATTGCACATTATGCTTATGGGTCGAACCCATGCTCATAAAAATCGAAAAAAACAAATCGAAACAAGCAAATCGAATAAAAAAAATGTGGTAAAGTAAAATGATCAATTCGACATTTCTAAAAAAAAGGAAGGACCAATTCGGTTTTTGGTTAACCACTAACATAGAAAAATAAAACGGTAGTTAACTGAACCGATTGATATATGTATTTATATGTATATT